GGCATTTGTATATGGTCAATCTGGATCCTCTGAAAGGGGTATTGTGGCTTGGCTAGGTGATTAGGTGCAGTCTTTATAATCTTTCCAGGATTGCATTTAGCACATATAGTACATGATTTACAGTAATTCTGTGTTAAGGTAGTGATACCTGGTGCTTCAAAATACTTGTCAATCAGTGATTTCATCAGATGTTTCGACAGGTGGGCTGGCCCATGGGCCCATTGGACCAGCGCTGAGTACATACTTCTGGGTAAGCAAAACTTGAGATTGATGGTGTGAACATCATCACGGAGTACAGCTCCTTTGTTCTTCCAACTTTGTTTCTCCTGGGGAGTAGCAGCAGCTTGTTGTTCCTTCAGAAGCCTAAGATCTGTAGGCAATGTTTGCATAGTGTAGATGGGTACTGTATCTGTGGCCACTCTTCTGTCCACTTCCCATCCTTGCCGTGCTGCTTCCTTAGCTGCCTGATCAGCTAAGTGGTTGCCCCGTGCTTCTTCTGTGTCTAGTCTTCCGTGGGCTTTTACTTTTAATACTGCCACCTCTGCTGGAAGTTCTAAAGCATCCATCAGTTCTGCAATGGCTGCCCCATGTTTTACTGGGGTACCGGTAGCCGTAAGAAATCCTCTGGTTTTCCAAATTAGACCAAAGTCATGTGCTACTCCCAGGGCATATCTTGAATCTGTGTAGATATTGACACGTAGACCTTCAGACAATTTGCAGGCCACAGTCAGGGCTGTTAGCTCGGCTTCTTGAGCAGACTTAGTTGGTTGCAGGGCAGCTGCTTGTAATACTTGACATCCTGTGGTGACTGCATACCCAGTGTGATATTGTCCCTGTTCATCAGCAAATCTTGACCCATCCACAAATAGTGTTTGGTCCGGGTTGAGTAATGCAGCTTCATAGACAGTTGGTAGGTGTGTAGTTTCCATTTTCATTTGTTCAAAACAATCATGAGGAATATCTAGGTCACAGTCTATGATGAGTGGGTCTTCTCGGGCTTCTGTGTGGTACCTTGGGTACCCTGCTGTACAGTAATTAATAGTCTTTTTGTTGATCCCCGTAGAAGTCAGTTGTTCTTGGTTCATTTGACTCCAAGTCTTGGCCATCGGGCCTAGGTCTTTCCATGAGGTGTCAGGGGATCTGGTGAGAGATATGTGTGGGATAGCTGTTTCCCAATGATGATAGAGATGTGTCACATTCTCTGGAAGATAGACTAAGATGAGCATGGTACCTGTGGGGTCCCAGAATAAGTCAGTCGGGGTAATTTGAATTTCCTTGAGCTGGAATAATTCTTCCTCATAGTTCATATCAGGGCCTGGTATGTCCTTAAACCATAAGGTGCAGTGAAGTAGGGCCTCTGATTGTTCATCATGTGGGGGTGCAAGTGCTGGCAACTGCAAATCTGCTCGAACCTCTGGGTTGATGTCCAGGCTGTACCAGTAATGCACAACTCCCTCCTTGGGAAGTGGCAGAAGAGTGGCTGGGTTCAGGGAAAGACAACGCTGAAGTTTCACATTGTCAGGTAAAAGTAAGGATGTTTGTAGACGGAGGTGACGTTGAGAAGAAAGGTGCTTAGGTTGAACTTGTTGCAGGATTGCAGTAATGTCATGAGGGGCCAACACCGTGAGGTGGTGGCCAAGAACAAAATCATTAGTCTTGTCCAGGAGGGCGCTGGCGGCAAACACCGCTCTGAGGCAGGAGGGACTACCCCTTGCAACAGGGTCAAGCATGCAGGAAAAATAGCCAATAGGCCGCTGTCTTGAGCCATGTTTCTGGGTAAGGACTCCGGAAGCATGTCCTGACTTTTCAGAGACAAACAGGTTGAAAGGAAGCTGGTAGTTTGGGAGGCCCAAGGCAGGTGCAGAAGCAATAGCTCTTTTTAGATTGTGGAAACAGGTGATAGTTTCTTCAGTGAGATGAAAAGGCTCACTCCTGAGGGCATCATAGAGTGGCTGCATGAGCTTTGATGCTTCGGGTATCCAGGACCTGCAGTATGTGATAAGACCCAAAAAGGCATTAAGAGTCTGATGTGTTGCAGGTAAAGGGAGTTGCAAAATAGCTTGTACACGTTGAGACGTTAGATGTCTGGTGCCATGGGAAAGACAATGTCCCAAGAAGACAACAGAGGGCCGGCACCATTGTAGCTTGGATTTGGAAGCTTTGCAACCGGCTGCAGCAAGGAAACATAGGAGATCTTCTGAGTCACGTTCTGCAATGAGCAAATCAGGAGCACAGAGAAGGAGATCATCAACATATTGGAGCAGGACAACATCTGAGTGAGATTTCTGCCAGGGCTCCAGAACTAGAGACATGGCATGAGCAAACTGTGTGGGGGAATTCTGGGCCCCCTGAGGCATGACAGTCCAGGTGTATTGTTGTCCTTCGTGGGTGAAGACGAAGAGAAAACGGCAGGAAGGGTCAAGGGGCACACTGAAAAAGGCATTGGCTAGATCCACTACAGTGAAAATTGTGGCAGTTGGTGGAACCTGGGACAAGAGAGTGTGTGGGTTTGGAACAATAGCAGTGTCTTTTACGGTTACTTCATTAACAGCACGGAGATCCTGCACCATTCGGTACTGGTCGGGTTGGCCTTTAACAGTTCTCTTTTTAACAGGGAAAAGTGGTGTGTTACATGGAGATGTGCACTTGATGAGGGCACCTTTGGCAAGTAGGCTTTCAACTTGTTTGGTGATAGCGTCAGCTTGTGCTGGCTTCAGAGGATACTGTGGCCTACGGGGAGGCGGTGCTCCAGGCAGGAGCTTGACCAAGACTGGGGGCACATGCAAACGTTCGATATCATCCGGGCCGGTGGACCAAAGTTCTTGGGGTATACAATCCAGAGCACTGGGGGTTTGTGAGACCCGTGCATTCCCTGTATTGTCAGCTAGGTTCAACAAGATGGGGAGGGAACAGAGGACAGAGGTGTCTTTTTGTGATAAGGGAGTTGTTAACTCGACCTGACCATCAGCAGTAAAGGTAATGGATGCCTGGAGCCGAGAGAGAACATCAGCACCTAGGAGGTTAATGGGGCAAGTAGAGGAAACAACAAACCGGGAGAGAATGTGTGAACCTACATGCAGAAGTTTAGTAAGGGGGTTACTGCGGGGTGTACCATCCACCCCAACACAGGAGACGTCGGTATCAGATAAGAAGGAACGATCTGGCAGGTCTCGTTCCCTGAGAACACTACAGGCTGCACCTGTGTCGACTAGAAAGGTAGTTGGATGGCCCTCCACGGGGAGAACTACAGTAGCCAAGGGCCCTCCCCCATCCCCCGCAGACACTGCCATGGCAGGGGTTGCTGACACAGGCTTGCCAGTTACCTATTGTAATAAATCTAAATGGGCCTGATCTGGTCCCTGGTACCGGCGGGAAGTGGAGGGAGGGTTACTAGATTGCATGGGAGGACGGGATGGACGAGTAATGTGGCGGGGCAGTGACTGACTGTCTTGGAAATCATCTGTGTCAAACCCTTCAGCGGTAGCCGAAGTGTATGCACGGGCCTCTGATGTAGGGAGCCGGGCTTGGGTGTATTCAGGAGGAGGAGGAGAAGGAGGAGGAAGCTGAGGCAACTGTGGATGGGGCAGGGCAGGGAGGTAACCAGTGGAGGGGAAACTAAAGCCGGTGGCATGGGGACTTGGGTACCGGGGAGTCTGTGGGCGGATTACTCTAGGGTGTGGGCAATCTCTTCTGAAGTGGCCGGGCTGATTACAGTTAAAACAGGTATGGATTGTCGTGAGGGTCCGGTCCCGGGGAGAGGGGATAGATGCAGGCAGTGTCTGGGGTAACTGAGTGTATTGTTGGGGGAGTATCTGAGGAACTTGGTTAGGACTGACAATTGGTGCAGAGGTAGTATACATCAGAGGGCTAGTTCTTCGCTGTGTGGGTTGCAGAACAGATTCTAAACCCTTGGCTACCAGCAAAAGTGTGTCCAGTGGAATAATTCTGTACTCTGGGCGAGCTAAAATCAACCCCTTACGAATGTGTTCCCTAAGGCCTGCCACAAAGGCTGCAGATAACATCTGGGTGTGTGCTTTGTTATAGGTGCTGAACCCTAAGTCTGAAAAAGTCTGAGTCAATCTAGAGTGATACTTTTCAACAGTCTCAAGCTTATCCTGAATTATGTCATTTATACAAGTAGCCTGATCTGCTAATTTATCCTGTGCCCAAGCTCGGAGCTGCTCACAGAAAATTTCACCAGAACGAAAATCTGTATCAGAAGTGAGTGGAGCATCATTAAAGCTCCATTCCATGATTGGCCAGTATGCATCTCCAGCCTTTATTTCACACAAACTTATAAGATCCCGCCAGGCAGCGGAATATGTTTTTCGGATTTGAGCCATCCTGCGGAAAAAGGGCATGGGGTGTTTCTCAGGATCTGGGAGTGAGGTCACAAGGGTAGCAGCTTGGGAAGGGTTGAAGGTAACATACATGGGTGGTGCACCATCCGCTCCATGGTTAATCTGGGTATAACCCTGGGGGATAGAGAGCTGTTGGGGAAGCCTGTTCCCCCCTGGGCGAGGTGAATCCTGTTCTACCACAACAATCTCCTCGGGTGCTACTGGGCCACAGTGCAGAGTAGTCTCGGGGGTAGCTGTGGCGGGGGCGGCAGGGAGACCGGTGATGGGAGAGGTAGTTGGGTGGAAGCCCGAGGCCTGGGGGGAAGCACCCACTGCATAGGGTTTATCCGACGTCACAGACACTTCGGATCCAACCACCATGATAGGATAACTAGCGCTGGTGGGAGAGACATGAGGGACCAATGCCATGGATGGGGTTGCTGTGGGGGCCGGCTGAGATGGGCGTGAGAGGTGGGTATTTAGGACATAAGCGAGAGCAGAGATTGGATCGGAAGGCTCGGGGATGTTAGCGGGGGGCGGAGAAGGGGTTGGAGGATCAGGGGGAGGAGGTGGAGGAGGAGGAGGTAAATCAATGGGAGGTGGAGCAGGAATCGCGGAATTAACCAGGGAGGTAACAGCAAAGAAGAGGGCGGATATCGAGGTAGACAAGTCATTGGCCATGGTTGGGTCAGGGGTCACCGGGGGAGGGGTCGGAGGGATGGGAACAGGGGGCTGGGTTATAACAGCGTGGGTAGAGGGTAGGGACGGCAAATCAGTCGGGAGGGGAGGAGGCAACGAGGTAGAGGGGGCCGGGTCATCGGGAGGAGGTAACACTGGAGAAGGGGTTGGAGGGGTGGGAACGGGGGGCTGGGTCAGGGCGGTAAGGGCAGAGATTAGGGACGGCAAATCAGCCGGGAGGGGAGGAGGCAATGAGGTAGAGGGGGCCGGGACATCGGGAGGAGGTAACACTGGAGAAGGGGTTGGAGGGGTGGGAACGGGGGGCTGGGTCAGGGCGGTAAGGGCAGAGATTAGGGATGGCAAATCAGCCGGGAGGGGAGGAGGCAACGAGGTAGAGGGGGCCGGGACATCGGGAGGAGGTGGCGGTGTGTGGGTAGCGGGAGGGTCCTGGAGGATGGGAGGGGTGCCTGGGAGTGTTGCGGGAGGATGGAGTGAAGCAGAAAGGGCGGCTACTAGTGTTGCAAGATCAACGGGAGGGGAGGAGGTAGAGGGAGGGTCAGCCGTGGTGGTATATGAGGGAGCGGAGGCAGGGGGGCCGGGATCAGCGGGCTGGACAAGATTCATGAGAGTGGAGAGTAGGGATGAGGGATCCTTAGAGGAGGAAGTTGAAGGGGAATGAGAAGGAGAAAAAGGCAGAGAGGATAATGGGGTAGGGGTCACGGGACAGGTCACTTTCGAAAGGCTAGCAAGGAAGGAGGAAAGGTCTGGGTCCGGGGGTATGGGAGAAGGGGGGTCTGTGGAGGAACAGGGGTCCGGAGGAATGGGGGCGGTGGGATGGACAAGGGTCGAGGGAGCAGAGTGTGAAACAGTCGAGGGGGGTGAGGGAGCGGGTGTCGCTGGAGCTGGGGTACTCGAGGTGGAGAGGGAATGAGAGGAGGAGGAGGAAACGTCGGTGGATGAGGCGGGAGCGGTCAGGACGGGATCTTGGCGAGGTTTTGGAGTAGAAGCAGGCACTGGGAGAGGTGGCGGAGGACATGGAGGCGGGGGAACATCAACAGACGTAACAGGAGAAGGGTTGATGGAGGGGGCTGGGTCAAAGGGAGGTTGGTGCATGGGAGTGGGTGGGAACGAATGAAGTGGCACTGGATAGTAGTAAGCACCGTCTGCACCGAGTACGGGGCACAGGGGGGTGGGAGCTGAAGGCACACCCCCGGGGGGTGGGGTCTGTGCTGTGACGGGGGAAGCAGGGCTGGAATTTACTGTTGCGCTCTGGGCGCCATCATAGGGCGGTGGCCGCGGGACAATGGAAACAACATCATCATTGTTAACACTCCTATGGTATACATACACAGTTTGCCCTTCAAAATCCAACTCTTCCTCGACCCACCCTTCCCATTTCAGACCTCTAGCTAACCGATACCAAGCCTCTGCAATTTTTGTGAGCCCATTATCCAACAACACCCCTTCCTTGTCTATGAGTAACTTCCTCCAAAACTCAGGTTGTAATCTCCCACTGGGCGGCATTTGGAAGCCATACACCTTAGCAATCTTTCTAAGTTTCAACATTGCATCTTCCCCTGCCCTTTCTTTCACAAGCCAACAAGCCCTTAGCAGGTCTAGCATGTTTCTGCCCCATCTTGAATAATTGGAGTGAGCCACGTGTTAGAGACAGATATACAGAGGAGATACGGGGGAGAAGGAAGAGGAATGTCTACAGTGCTCGACTGCCACGAGGACTTGGGTCCCGTGCATCTTCCCAAAAATTAGACTAGTCACGGGGGTCCGTCCACCCGGGGTGGCAGTCACGGACCGGAGCGAGCGAGCGTGTGTGACTAACACAGCTCTGGGCAACAGACACAGGAGAGATAAAGGACAAGAGAAGATGAATGTGGCTACGCTAACGAGAAGACATTTGCAAAAGTCACAAACATAGAGATGGGCGTAAACCCCAGAATCCAGAACCAGCCACACCATACACACACACACACACCAAGGGTACCCACACTGTAACAACAATTGAACAAAAACCACAGAATGACAGAGAGTAAAATGGCCATGTACATGTTAACACCACTGGCACCAGATATTTAAAATGTGGCAATCCCCAGCCCTCCCCCACCAGGTTGGTCCCGTTATAACACAAATACCAATGAAACACTGCAATAATCAAACAAAATCCCAGCCCCACCAGCTGTAATGCGTTCCCTGCCCGCTAGGCAGTCAAGCTAACATAAAATCCCAGCCCCACCGGCTGTAATGCGTTCCCTGCCCGCTAGGCAGTCAAGCTAACATAAAATCCCAGCCCAACCGGCTGTAATGCGTTCCCTGCCCGCTAGGCAGTCAAGCTAACATAAAATCCCAGCCCCACCGGCTGTAATGCGTTCCCTGCCCGCTAGGCAGTCAAGCTAACATCTTTTAAAAAGGGGAAAACACACACACCGGCCGTCACACACATTTAAACGAATACAGGAGGCAGATAGACAATCAACAGGTTCACTTTAAAAAGGCACACCGGATGAGCTAATTACCTGTCTCTAGTAGCCTTCTGGAAGCCGGAAGTGGACTCGGAGACAGACCGACACAAAACAGGAGAATAACACAGGCAACGGCTGTATTATGGAGGTGATCAGGCTCCGCTTGTCCCACTTTCCAGAGGTCTGCTCCGGTCCGTTGGTTCCGGCCCTCCGAACCGGCCCTCTGGTGGCCCCACGTTGGGCGCCAATTGAAATGGAAAAATCAATCAAGGTATTGATTATTTCTTTGTGTATCTGCCCCTGGCCAAATCAATGAAACAATGCGTGCACGCTCCCTGAAGTAATTCACACCAGACACAGGTTCTAGGTTGTTGAATAACTTGAGGAAAGTTTATTCAGAGGGGACGGCAGGTCCCTTTTAAAGCAAAGTTACATCATAAGCATTGTCAGAGATAACATGGAATAATGCATCAATTATTGGTTAGGTGTTAAGTGGTCATTCTAATGCTCTGCCTACTGGGGGTGATGTCACCAGGGCCATGAGGGTCTCCCACGGTTTCCCAGCGCCATCTTGCTGCATGAGGTAGTTAGTCAGTGTTAAAGGGAGGGGGGGAGGAAAGGAGGGGTTAGAAGCTTCTAGCAGCCATCTTGATTAAAACGTGTGCATAGCTTATATTGTGTATAGTGAAATGAGTAAATAGACATTTTCATTAACTAGGAAATATGTGCAGACCTTATTTCCACAACAGGTAACTAAAATAATAGATCAGGGTGGTGCAGTAGACATTGCTTACCTAGATTTCAGTAAGGCTTTTGACACTATTGCACATTGAAGGCTTGTAAATAAACTGCAATCTTTAAGTTTTAATTCCAATATTGTAGAATTGCTAAGGTAGTGGCTGAGTGACAGGCAACAGAGGGTTGTAGTCAATGGAGTATATTCAAAGCATGGGCTTGTCACCAGTGGGTTACCTCAGGAATCTGCACTTGGACCCATTCTCTTTAATATTTTTATTAGTGATCTTGATGTTAAGCTATGTTTTTTTGCTGATGATACTAAGATATGTAACAGGGTTGATATTCCAAGAGGAATAAGCCAAATGGCAAATGATTTAGGTAAACTAGAAAAAAGTTCAGAGTTGTGGCAACTGACATTTAATGTGGATAAGTGCAAGATAATGCATATTGGACGTAAAATCCTAAGGGCAGAGTACAGAATAT